ATATTGCCTGGGCAAACAATCACTCATCTTTCCTAAAAACTATTTATACAAAACAAAAGCAAGCAAATTGATTAGTTTTGGGCATGGATAGATACGAAAGTCCCGAGTTGTTACTCAAGGAAATAAATGCCCTAAATGTATACAAATTAAACATCTACCATAACTTGTTATTTATGTTTAAACTTCAAAACGAATTAATTCCAAAATATTTTTATAAAAACTTCTCTCTTATTAATCATAAATATAAAACAAGACACTCAATAAATAATTACTGCATCCCACTAACATTATTCAAAAAATCTGACTTCTCAATTACATGTCGAGGACCACGCTTATGGAACTCGGTTTTTGACAAAAATATGAAAAAAAATAAAACCTATTGATATATTTAAAAGAGCTATAAAAAAACACTTACTAAATTTAAATAATTTGTACATTCTTTCATTTTTTTAATTAAATATATATATATATATATATATATATATATATATATATATATATATATATATATATATATATATATATATATATATATATATATATATATATATAATATATATTATTGATAATATACTTCTAAAAAAAGTAACAGTTAGAAACTTTCTTGGTATTTATATTGATGAAAATTTGTCATGGAAAATTCACATAAAAAAATTTGAGTAGTAAAATATCAAAAAGCATAGGAACTTTGTACAAAGCAAGGAGTTTTTTAAATAAACATACATTACTTAAACTATTTTATTCGCTCATTCATTGTCACATAAACTATGCGAACATTGCGTGGGGTAGTACTAATAAAAGTAAACTGGAACCTCTTTATCTTCAACAGAAACATGTTGCACGCCTTATTAATTTTAAGGATCGATTTACTTATGCCAAGCCTCTATTAATTGAAATGAAAGTTTTAAATATATATGAGCTTAATATTATATTAATAGCATAATATAAATGTAAAAACAATATTTCTCCTGTACCTTTTCATAATTTGTATAACAAAAAAGAAAAAACTAAGTACATTTTACGAAATGATAATGACATTCGTCAATCAGCTTATCAAACTAATTCTGGAAAATACTGTATTTCATTTCGAGGAGCATTACTTTGGAATAAAATAGTTTTAAAGAATTTTAACTTTTCTTAAGAAGTTAGCTATCACTCTTTCAAACAAAAACTTAAAAAAAGTCATTTTTTTATTAGATGATGTCTCTAATAAAAAAATGACTATTTACAAATTGTTAAATTTATAATTTAACAATTTGTAAATAGTTGTTTAACACTTTTGTTAAAGGTACCTTAAAACTGTATAACAAAACCTTTAACAAAAAGTTTAACAATTTTGTTAAAGGTATCTTTTATTTATTTTATTTATTTTTTTATTTGTCATTAAAAAAAAAGAATGCAATGCCGTGTTATATAAATAAAATCTACATGACCGGGGCTAAAAGAAGACAATATTTGCCTTATCACTACACCCTGTATCTTAAAACTGTATAACGCATCTATATATTTATAACGGAACCCTTTTCTTTTTTTCTTTAAATTTGTTAATGTTTTCAATTCTTAATTCTTAATTATTTGTTATCTTCAAGTATGTTAAGTATATAATCCTATTGAAAGTTTATTTATTTTGAGAATTCTTCTACGAGTCTTCCCGCGTTCCCGCGTTCTTTTATTTCTTAATAATGATCATGTATATATATATATATATAAAATTTATGTAAGATTAACATTGTAAAATGTGTCAAATGACAAAAAAAATAATAATAATAATGAATAATTGATAGTTATCGATTAAAGGAAAATTTTTTAGCAATAAAAGTAGCTTAAAATCAATCAATCAATCAATTATATATTCTGGAAAAAAGATCTAACTTCCACGGTCGTTACAAATAGTTATAAAAACTAATATAAAGTAAAAACCTCTTTGATGAATATAAAACATATTATAAACACATAGTTATAGTTAAAATAAAAATAGCAATAAATTTACAAAACAACAATAATAAAAATAATTAATTGTATAATAATAAGAATAACAATAATAATATTACCAGTAAGTATAATTAACACCCAATAATAATGAATAAAATAAAAACATGATAATAATACATATAAAACGGAATTGTCAAATAAATATTTAATAGAAGGCTGTTCATTAAATACGTCAACAAAAATTATAAAAACTAAAAGAATTCAATCAATACAACAATCAATTATATATACATAGTTACAGTTACAAACAGTAATAAACTGACAAAACGTAACTAATAAAGATGACATAAAAACGATTATTGATAAAAGAATACCAAGACTCGATAAATATAATAATTTTAGTTTTTATAATATAATAGCAGAAATATATTGTAAGTATAATAAACAAATAAAGAAAATTTAAACAGAAAAACACTTATTATTCATAAAACTAAGGTTAATAAAAGTAAAAAATGCATTAAATGCATACACAAAAATAAATGACATAAATATAACAATAAAAATACACATCAATATAAACAATGTATTCACTAAACAAATCTCATAATTTTTTTCTTGTTCTTTTCTTTTAATGACATTATTGTTTCTGGTAGACTAACGTAATTCATTTCGTATTTTTTTTATTATTATTTTTTTTCTTTACATTTTCGAACTATTTTTTCTTTTACCGAATCTTTTTTTTCTATTTGGTACGTTATTTTGACTTGTTTTTTATCTTTATTTGTTTGTATTTTTTGATCTTGTTTTTACTCCATTTTGTTTTATAATTTGATATTTTTTAAATGGTATTTTGATTTTTTTTTTCTCTATTTGATTTCTTTCCTTTTTTACCGTTAAATAAAAACATCATCCATTTGCGATGTCATTGCAAAGGATTAAAAAAAGTAAGAAAGCCATAAAAATTCAACAATTATAAGAAATATATTTTAAAAAAAGCAGTTTGAATCTGTTTTGAACAAAGTAATGTGGTTTATTTACAAAATATAAACTTTGTATTAGAACTATTAAGGATAAAGTTATTTAACCAACTCTCTCATTTGCTCTAAGATACTTAGTGCTAGCTCTCTTTTCTTAACTTCTATGTTTTTCTCATTTGTTTTTTGTTTCATATCGTTAGCTTTAGAAACCCTAGATCTTGCTTCTCATCGGCTTCTTCAACAAAATCAAACTGCAACATTTCACTAGTTTCCTTCAGTTGATCTTGTCTTATTGCAACATCTTATATTTAATCGCGTTCAATCACAAACAATAATAAAAAAAGAAGTCAATTTGCGACAAATGTTTTTAGCAATGCATCGCTAAGAACTTTTAGGCAACTTCTATATCTTTTATGGAAATTACATTATTTTGTTTGTAACTTCGAAATTTTGCGGCTGAAGATTATTTGATAACATATGATCTTTTAAACGCCTTGCAATTATTGATTTTTCATTTAAATATTGTTTCAGTTTATGTGACAATTAATAAATGAGTGATAAAATTGTACTAAAGTATGTTTATTTAAAACATTTCTTGCTTTGGACAATATTCCTATACCTTTTGAAATTTTACTTGATAAGTTTTTAATGTAAGATTTTCATCTATACAAACACCTAAAAAGTTGGTTATTGCTACTTGTTTAACTTGTATACTGTCAATAATAAGATGAGACATGTTAATTGGCAGTTTATGTTTTTTGATAGAAGACTTGAAAGGTTGTAGGTTGTATGAGTCAAGAAAACAAGTAAAATGGGAAAAAAGTTCCGAAGCGGTGAAGTGCGGTGGGAAAAAACTGAAAAATAAATGTTTTTAGAGCATGATACAGTAAAAGGAGTTACTAAATTGGAGTTAATAAATTCACAAATCACCATTACTAAATGGAGTTAATAAATACACAAATCACTGGAAACCCCAATCTGTTGCAAAAATAAGATCAAATTTAGGATTGGTTTCCTGTTCTAAGCAATCAAAAAGAGACTTGTTTTCAAAACAGAAGTGTATGAAGTATAAAGTTAAGTCGTCAGTAAAATTAGATGTTACTTTAGATGTAAAGGTTGTTATGAAGATCATTAATATAGATAAGAAACAAAACAGAACCAAGAATAGAACCTTGGGTACCCTAGAAATTACTGAAAATGAAGAAGAATGTTGGCCCTCACGGACGACTGTGAAAAAACTATTAATAAAGAAATCATTTAATTAACTCAAAAACCTCGCCAGACACACCATATGAAACTTATGGAGAAGACCAGCATGCCAAACGTTATCGAAAACTTAAGATAAGTCAAGAACAATAGTCCTATAGCGAGAAGATCAAAAACCATATTTATTGTTTGCAAGTTCATAGCAAGTTATTTGACTCAAGATGAGTTGTAAGAAATTTCTTGATCAAAAACTCAAAGTTCTTGCTAATAACAGAACCATTTTATACCAAAAGATTTAAATTATAATTACTATATATTATCAAAGTTATAAAACCACTCTACTGAGCAACTTTCATTAATGATTAAGACTTAAAATTTATATATTGTAAAGAATCTTTAAGCTAAATAAAAGACTAAAAAATTACTTTCTGAGTTATCCCTGATTGTAAAGAATTTCAAAAAAATTCACTGACTTTTCCAGGTATTCCTTGATTTTCTAAATTTTTAAAACTTTTCCCTGGTTATACCTAAGCGCCATGAACCATGTAATAAAGTATTAAGAGTTTTTTTTACCTCATCGAATCTCGGTTATTTATCAAAAAAAAAATAAAAATTCTAACTTCATATTTGAATAACTTAGATTTATTAATTCAACTCGATTACTTATTGCAAATTAAACAAAACAAGAGAAACGGGGGTTTTTGTTATCTATTTAAAAATATCATTCATGTTTGATAGGTGAAGTCTGAGGTTTAAAGAGTGAACAGCTACGGAATTAGGAATATTTTGTTTTAAATTCTAGTAAAATTATCTTTACTAAAAAAATTAAGAAAAAAACCTTATAATGATTACACACACAAATAAAAAATTAATAAAACATTTACGTTTTAACAATTCGTATATATTTCGTTTATTTCATAAACAGGCCTATAGCATAAATATTTTGCGCTTTACATGTCTTTGAAATCAGCTGACAATTAAACGCTAATTACAATGGTGTAAATGACGTTGCGTCAAAACCATGCTTGGAAATAATTAACAATTCAAATATATACTCAAATATCAATATATCTATACAACTATGGACGTACAAACTCACAAATAAAATACCAAATATTGGTTTTCAGTGACAACGAAAACTAAGAATATTTAGAGATTTGCATTATGCATATTAAATTTAAAAATTTTTAAATTAGTTTAAAAAGAAACATTAAAAAATAAAACTTATGAGAAAACAACAAACAGAACAGAAAAAAAATAATTAAACCATTTCGGTAAAAATATATAAAACCAACGGAACAAAAAAAATTGGTTCACTATGTGAAAAATGAATGTAAATCAAAAACAAAAACTTTCACGACGAAAAACTTGAACTATTTTGTATTTTTTTTTTTTGTATAGTTATTTTTAAAAAGATGACTGATAAAAAGCAGACCTTGCTTTTCAAGTTTTGCAAATCTATAAACGAAAAAAAAATTTTCGTTGAAAAATCTTGTCGAATAAAAATATGATAGTTTAGACAAGTGAAATCTGAAATTAAGAATCTGTACAAAAGCGTCTGTTGGAGTAAGCTGTATTCTATGTTCAAATTGGAACTTGCAGATAATAAAATCACAACCATTTAGAAATGCGTAGATTTATTGTTGAAAGTAAACTTGCTGTGACTGATGTTGATGATCGGAGTAATCATAGTATGGAGCTGGAGGGTGCGGGACACCATTAGGCCATGTAACCTTTGTAACAACACCAGATGCAACAACGGAGCGAGTGGTGATTGGAACATAAGCTGTAAAACATGATTTTCTAAATTAATATTTTGACGAGAGCCTACTAAGAGTAATGTTATTGGATATCAATTCAAAAAACTGCTAAGTTTAGAATTCGAGACTCAAAAACTTTATTATATTATTTAATCAAAAAAAATATAATAAAAACCTTGAACTTTTATGAACAAAGAAAAAGTATTTTCTTTGTTCATAAAAGTAGTTCAAGGTTTTTATTATATTTAAAAAAAAAGTTATAATGTATTAACTCATAATAAAATATGTCATCTTACCAGGTGTAGGAAGACGTAATGGGAATGGAGAAACCGGAGAAACTTGAGGAGACGTTTCGTTTGCTAAGAGAATTGCATTATGTGATCTTAAAATAAAACTCTTCCAATTGCAATAAGAGTTTTATTTTAAAATTTTGAATTGTTCCAATAATATATTAAAATTATTGATAATATATACAAAGAAATAATTATCGCTAATTATATTATAAAAATTATTATATAAGTATATTTTATTAAAACATTTAAACTATACATTTTTTAAATTACTTTATATAATTAAAACTATTTTTAAACCCACTGATTTGTGAAAGAGTATATTCAGCAGCGTAAACTTTCGCTTCCTCAATAGTACAGCACAACTTCTGTGGTTGATATGTGTTGCCCAATGGTGGAATGGTTATCTTTACAAATTTTTTATATGTTTAAAATTAAATAACAATCGAAAAACAAATTTTTTATTTAAAATGATTTTAAAATTCAATGCTTAAAAATTACCTTGTATAAAAATAGTTGTCGATCATTATTTACAGTAGAGTGAAGAGTATAAATAGGCGTTCCCCAATTATTTTTAATGCACATTTCCTCTAAAACCTGTTTTCAAATTAGAAGTTAAATTATTTTTAATGCACATTTCCTCTAAAACCTGCAATGTTTTCAAATTAGAAGTTAAATTATTTTTAATGCACATTTCCTCTAAAACCTGCAATGTTTTCAAATTAGAAGTTAAATTAAAAAAGTCTGATTTAGAAAAAAAAAAGCTATAAGCAAAGTAAATTACCTGCATAGGAGTACGCCTAGACTGAGGCTTTAATGTAACAGGATTTGTAGGAGAGAGATTCATTCCGGGTAAAATATCATAGAGGTGGTCTGACTAATATAAAATATTTCTCTATATAACATCAACTTGATAAAAAAAAAATAAAAATAAATGCAAACTGTCTTTTACCCCAGCTTGAAGCAACGGATGTAGTTGGGGAAGAAACCCATTTAAAATGTAAGCTCTACCACCAGCAGAACGAGATCCTGCAGCAGTTCTACCACGACCTCTTGCTAATGGTCTAACACCTACTTGACTGCTAAAAGAAAAATGTCAATATATAACAGCAAGAATATAAGAAACATACTACCTACTTAAACTCAGAACCCTCAACTGAAATATTTACTACTTTGAAGTAAATATTCATCAGATTCAGCTTTGAAGTAAATATTCATCAGATGCAACTAGTATATTTAATTTTTAAATTTTGATTTTTTTTAATTGAAGTAAAACATTTGTCTTATCAATTAAAAAACTCATTTTTTAATTATTAACTTGGGTCATTCAGTTTGAATTAGAACGTGGGTTTTGTACAAACAAAGAATGGAATGTTTTGAAATCTAATTGTTAATGGTTGCACGTGTATCTTTAACTACTTTTGTCTATCCATTTAATTAACTTTTAGAAGAGCGGCCATGGTACAGTACTTAGAAAATCAAAAGGTCAAAAGTTGGCCTTTCGATTCTCTAAGTACTGTACCATGTTAAATATTCTTGAATGGTGCTTTGTGAGTTAAATCTTCTTATAATACTAACTAGGAGGAAAGTTTTTAATTAACTTTTATAAGGTGTACATTCAGCAACTATTTAACTTTTAATTAACTTTTATAAGTTGTACAACTTATAATTGTACAGTATTTAACTACTTAGTTTTTAAAACTGATCTTTGGAAAACCGCTAATCTAATCTTTTGCTAAAATAAGTCTAAAGTTTAAGTTAAAATAAGCAGGGGCTATTCACGGTTGATAGTCCAAACGGTATTTAGGCGCCACCCGAGTTTAGAAATTGAGGAACTTCTTTTTTCTTTTTTCTTTTTTTACGCCAAATACTGTTTTTTTTGCAAAAAAAAATGCCTGCATACGTCAAATTTTGTTACAGAGCGGGTTACTGTCTCCCAAATTATTTTCCTTGAATAGCCCCTGATAAGGTAATGTAAAATATATTACTAATAAATATCTTAATTAGTTTCTAGGTTGAAATAATAAAACAAAATCTGAAAAAGAGTTCTCTCGAGAACCTAAGGGCTTCTGCAAGATTATTATAAATGTTTATAACAAAATTTTACAAAAATTTTGATTGCAATTATGAAGCACCACACTGGTTTTAAAAAAAATTGATGAAATAGTGATAACATTAAACATAAAATACATTAATTGATGTTAAACATAAAAAAAAAATAACTTAAAACTGATAAATATTGTTCATAACAAAGTTAAAGAGAAATTAACAACAAATAAATTGCAAGAGAAATAAACAATGAATGAATCACAAGAGAAATAAACAATGAATGAATCACAAGATTCACAAGAATCAACAATGCGAAAAACTATACAAAAAATAAGTATTAGTAGAATAAATTATCACAAATTTTTAAAAAAACTTTGAAAGCTTTTTTTTTGGCAGTGTTGCAAACCAAATTACAAACCAAAGTATTAATGCAAGTTATTGGTATATCTCAGTCTCTCATTTTAATTTGCAACAAAATTACAAGCCAGACAAAACAAATTTTAGATATTGTAACACAGGACTTATGGTAAAACAGAAGCAATTGTTTCACGAATGTAAAACATGCTATTTTAGAAATTGCTCTCAAAGACATTATGACAAGCATACATAACCAGTTTGGTTAACAATTTATTTCAAGAAACAATGCATGATGGGTTATTTTTTTATTATTACCCAAGGACTAAATGAACCATATAATAAGTAAGAATTTTAAGACATAAGTAGTAAGTATAAAAAGGTTATCAAAAAAAAAATAAACAACACCAAGATGATAAAAACATTTTTAAGGTTGTTGAAAATGAATATAAGCAAAATAAAGTTATTGTTCCTGTAGACATTGAAGAACACCTTAAACTAACATTGATGTTGAAAGTTATAGCTGTTTATTTAATTGGATTGAGAAATAGTGCAACTAAATATATGAAGTCCTAAAAAGTCTCCGGTTATGAAAGCCACAAAATCATTATTTATTTATGGTTCTTTGAAAATTTTCTTGAAAATTTTCTGGGGTGTCAGAAATTTTCTAAAAAAGCTAAAAAACCTATGAACTACTATTGAATGAGATTAGAATTAAAAGTTCATTTAAAAATACAATGTAGAAAATATAGTATAAAAGTTTCCATAATAGAAATCTGTACCCATCTGTAAGTATTATATTAATTAAATAACAGAATATAGAAAAAAATATATATGGTACTTACCTCGGTAAAAAAGGGGGAGGATACATAAGCCCACCATGCATTTGGTTATTAAAAGGAAAAAAATCATGTGGAAAGCTTGGAATATGTTGGTACTGGTTAGCCATTTGCATTAACTTAGCTACTGCTTTTTGTTGCCTGTAATGCTCCTTATCAACAGGTTTTGCTAGTGTTACTTCAATCTTGGCTCCATCAATTGATTCACCCTCTTAAATTTTACAATGAATAATGCAGGATTATTTTTGTCAAACAAACTACAGAACAAATAGAATAATAAAATCACAACTATAAAAACTTTAAAGTTAATTTTATATTAAAAGCATGTCGACGAGTGTATCAAAAAATATATATATATATATAAATAACCAATTTTAAATTGTTAAATAAAAGCCCAAAAATTGCATGACAAGTATTAGTTATGCGTAAGACAAGTATAAATTATGCATAAGACAAGTACATATTATAACAATTTTTGAAAAAAGATTTGATTACTTTAATTGCTGCCATTTTGATACCTTCCGTTGCTCTCAAAAAATGGTAAAATACTGTTGTTAACACATTTTACCATTTTTTGTAGAATCTCAATACAAGTTCCATGCATACATCATCATGTAGAACCTCAATACAAGTTCCATGTATACATCAGAGATATAATGAAGTTTAAAAAATACACAATGACTTAGTTGAAAGAAATGGCAATATTTAAGAAAAAAATTTAATTGTCTTTAGATGCGGCTGTAAAATCTGTAAAAAATATATTTATACCAATTTTTTATTGATCAAGTTTCATAGTATACAATATAAAATCACAGGGGAAAAATTACTCAATGTTTAAGTATTAGCACTGCTTAATTAACAAACACATTTGTTTGTGTCTGAAACAGATTTTTTGTGTAAAACTAATACATTATTTGCTGTGATGCAAATCTTGTACTAATGAATCTTAGGCAACCTTAGCAGATGCTGACTAAGCAATGAATTGTAAAAGACAATCAGTAAAGTAGAAGACTCAATAATTGTGTTATCAGTTATCAATACAGAAATCAAGATAATAAACAACACAGAAATAAGATGAAAACAAGAAATAGGACCACATATGAAACCTTGTGTCCTTGTTGTCCTTGTAAACCTTGAAGCAAGCTTATGGAAAAAACTAGCATGACCAATTTTTATTGAAAACCTTTGATATGTCAAGAGTAACAGCTCTTGTCTTGATGCACTTAAGATACCTCTTATTTAGCCTTGATTGCACTAATGCATTGGATGAACTATAAAAACTTTCTGTTGTAATGGCTTACAAGTTAAAATTTGAGCCGTTTTCTAGCAGGAAGGAAAAAAAATTCAAATATTTACTTGTTAAATAGTTTAGAAAATTCTAAAATGAGTTTATAGAAAGAGATGGATAACACTTTTGTTAGACTGTGACAGAAATGTTGTCATGACCACACGCTGTAGAAGATTTTAAGTGAGAAATAACTTTACCAATAGAAGCAGAATGCTTAACAATTGATTATCTCAATTAAAAATGTAAAAAAAAAGATGTTTGCTCTCAAGAGAGTTGTTCTTCTGATAAAGATGAAAAAAATCAATTTTGACCAAGAGGTACTTAAATATTTCTTTCTTGGGTTTCCATCACCTTTCTGTATTGAGTAAATAATAAACATAACATGTTTTTATGCAAGACATTTTCAGTAAGTCTGCTGGTGAAGCAAAAATAAGACAAGGAAAGTCATCTTTTTTTCTTGTTTTCACTGTATCATGAGATAATTTTGTAATTATTATTTAAATTAAAAATCATGTAATAATAAATACCAAAAGTAATTTGAATATTATGAATTATAAATAGTTTTTTTTATTTTTATAGGGTAACTTTGTAAAAAAATCTGATAAAAAGTAAAAAAAAGCATTTGTAAATAATAAAATAACTAAAAACATAAATTAACTAAGTTACAATAATTTTTTAAAGTCACAATAATTTTTTAAAGTCACATTTTGCATACACTATTATTGCTGTGGTTAACTTTTTTGTTGTGGTCAACTTTTGTGGTCAAAATTTTTTAAAAACCTTCCATTACTAATAGACACTTTTGTTCAAGTTCTTTGCACTATTACAACAGTAACAACAAGTGAACACATCAACATCTAAAGTAAAATTAACTTTTGTTCAACTTTTTGGCACTATTTTAACTGTTACAAAAAGTGTACACATTTAAATTTTTTTCTAAAAAAAGACTGGTGGCAACCAATGAATTCAAATTCTTAACGAAAATTTGCATTTGTTATGACTTTAGTTTTAGCTTTTAAACTCTGATATATAACTTAAGAGAATTCTGATATAAAACTTGTTTTTTATAATTTACTTGGTGTTACTAAAATGGCAAGAAATGTTTCTTATTAAAAATAATATTCGCCTGACACCAATTGAAGACATCAAAATTAATACTTGTCTCATTACATAACTTTTTTACTCTATAAAAATTTAAAATTTAATGCTTTTTTAAATACACTCTATTGACTGCATTTACTACTCAATTAAGTGATTATTTATGACCATTTAGAAAAAGTACCTTTTACACTCTCTAAAGCTAATCTTGCACCTTCTCTAGTAACAAAATGTACAAAACAGTAATCTTTAATTTTTTTTACTCTTTCAACTTCTGCAAATTTTTTAAAAAGATTTTCAATAGTTTCTTCAGTTGTATTTAGCTGTAAGTTCCGGATATATAAAACTTTTACCTAAAAATGTTTTATTTATAAGAATAACTTTATATATATATATATATATATATATATATATATATATATATATATATATATATATATATATAAAATAAGTTTTAAAAATATATATCAATATCGTAATATTAAAAGTGGATTTTAAAGCCCTAGAAAAACTTTTATCAGCTTTGGAAAAAGCAATCAAAGCTCAAGATGACTTAATGATTATGAACTAAAAATGGTATTCTTAATTAGTTAATGAGAACTAAAAATGGTATTCTTAACTAGTTTATGAGATCAGAGTTAAAAATTCATTTAAAAGTTTAATCTAGAAAATATATAGTATAAAAATTTCAATGATAATAGAAATATGTATTCTTATTGTATGTATTATATAATTAACAAACAGATATAGAAAAACGTGATTGTGTAACTCGGTAAAAAAGAGGTAGGATACATAAGCCCACCATTTTATATCAATGCTTAATGTAGAAATTTTGACTTGAGTTACAAGTAGGGTTCTGTTTTTAGTCTATCGGTATTTTAAGATAAGACAATTTCAATTAATATAAGACAACTTTAAGAAATATTTATTATGACTAAATAATACAATTTCAAGAAAAATTTATTACAACTTGAAAAATACAAGAAATATTACTTGAAATTCTTAGTAGGATCAAAACTGTGTTGTTTTTTTTTTATTTCAAAACATTTTACCTCATTTTTCATTCATATTTAAAGAGAATCTCATAACTTAATAATTATTATAGATAAATTAAGATCAGCAGTGTTTGAATCCTCCTATGAATTTCAGGTATTCCTTTGATTTCAAACAAAAGAAGGGTTTTCTAATAATGGTATTTTCTTTACTATTAATTCCTTATAATGCAATTTCGCCTTCCAAAGGCCATAAAGGCCACTATGAAATATGAACCTTGCCAAATAAGGTCACTGCGTGAAGAAACAAGTTGAGCACTGTACTACTAGGGACATGGTGGGGACCCAATTCAAAACTTCTTGCTTATAAGGCGAGTATTCTCCTAATACAACACTACTGCATCATAAACAATACCACTTCTTACATTTTTACTAATGAATCTATTTAAACACGCACTAATCCAAGAGTATCTATGATTCCAAAAAGAGGTAACAGAAATAACCACTTCCTAAAAATGCCTTGTAGTAATAGAACACCCAGCTTTTTAAAGAGAATTTAAGGAAAGAATCATAATTTTAAAAAAATCTTTTTTTTTTGAAGGCAAAATTATATAACAATTTTAAAAATAATCATCATTTAAAAAAAAAATTATTATTTTTGATTTCACTGCCTAGAAATAGACATTTTTAAACTAAAAATTAAAAATATGCATTTTTACAAAAGTTTTTCATCATAATTTTATTTTTTAATGTTTTTTATAAAATGATGACTATTTTAAAATTTTTTATATAATTTCACTTTTTGTGAGACCCAACATGATATACTTTTGATATATTATGTTTCTTTTTTTTTTTCAACATCTTCACTTCCATATTGAAATATTGTAGCATTCGGTTTAGAAATGAACTAGGTGGAGAAATTCATTCAGTTAGTGATCAACACTTACAACTTTATGTTTTTTATGTATGTTTGTGTTCTGTCTGAACCTCTGGCGCGGTGTTGACTCACCCGTAAGTTGATTTATGTTTGTTTGTGTTCTGTTTATACTCTAATGCAACGTGAGCTCAGTAACTAACTACTTACTCCAACTACAAAACGTACACTCACCTTAGACTCCTGTATTTTGTTAGATGCAGTGTTTTTCCTAATGCACTTCCAAAATGTCATGCCTGGTTTTCTCAAAGTACTGTTGCGGGAAGTAGCTCCTTTTAACTACTCCAGGTCAGGTCAGGATAATCGAGATCAATCTTGCTACTGGTATCACGTAACCCAGTACCACCTGCCACAAGCCCTGCTGCCTTGCAGAGTGTGCTCTTCTTATGCAATAGCTAGGAGAAATAAACTCCGACTAAAAATTCCCCTGCCTTGGGGCTCTTGGTTGAGTAAAGGCTAGAGATGGTGTCTCGATAAAAACACTCATCTTGGGCAGATGTTAACTGCATCCAGCTAAACATCCCCTGCCTTGGGGCTCTTGGTTGAGTAAAGGCTAGAGATGGTGTCTCGATAAAAATACTCATCTTGAGCAGATGTTAACTGCATCCTGCTACTGTCTTGTAGAAGGCCTCCTAGGCAAAGACTTTAGGGGTAAGCAGAAAAATTCTGCTAACCAGCCTCGAACCCCTTCTTCATCTATTAGGCTGGCGTAGATGTAACCTGTGTTACATTGTTTCCTGCCTAGGATGATGAATGCTGGATCTCCTTGACTCTACTCATAGAGTTTTGCTTATGCCTCTATGATAATGGATTTGCAACTCTTCCTGTTATCTTCATATGAAGGCAAAGCTCTAAAACTCAGTTTAATGGTTCTGAGGCCGGCTGGTAGTAAGGTTTCCCGAACTCTGTGGTAGCTCTCAGAGAGGCTGATTCCATCAACAGCTGCAAAATATCAGAGTATTAACAGTGCCATGTTGCGCATGGATGGTGTCCCTGTTAATGCTTTTGGTGTGCATTGTCAAGGCCACATAAGGAGCCCTATGTCACGGCTTAGGGTTAATTAACAGGACTGAGACAACTGCATAGCTCATTGATTAGGAGGCTGTGCTCTATCTATGAATGAGTCAAGTTCTCATTAAACCCAAATCATGACCAAAGTAACCAAAAATTTAAAACCTAAAAAACCATCCCCACCACCTAAATATTTTAATATATCTTTTACAAATATTCGCGGTCTACGAAGCAACTTTCCATCAGTTGAGTCTTACCTCATGCAAAATTCACCAGACTTGCTTGCACTCAGTGAAACAAATTTAAGTTCTGCAATTCCTTCTTCAGATGTCAGTGTTGATGGGTACTATCCTTTGATTCGTAAAGACTCCAATAGTCACATGCTAGGTTTAGGGGTATACATACGCATTAATTCCCCTATTTGTCGTGAAATCAGGTTCGAATCCTTTGACCATTCTTTTATAAGCTTTCGCCTAGCACCTCTTCACTCTATCACCTTTCTCTTTGTTCTTTATCGTTCTCCTTGTTCCCATGATTGCACTCTTTTAGATGTTATCTCTGATCAAATTGACCATGCCCTCTTTCTTTACCCCTCTGCCAATATTGTTGTTGTTGGTGATTTTAATGCCCATCACACTGAATGGCTTGGCTCTAACACCACTGATCCTGCTGGCACTAAAGCCTTTAACTTCTGCGTTTCTCAATCTCTTACTCAGATAGTTAACTTTGTGACTCGTTTTCCTGACAACCCTAATCATTTACCTTCACTCCATGACTTATGTCTTGTCTCTGACCCTAGCTTATGTTCAGTTTCTCCCTTTTCTCCCTTAGGTGGTTCTGACCATGCAATGATCTCTATAAATCTTTCTTCTCGTACTTCTTTTTTGGGCTCACCTTATCATCGCACCACCTATTACTACCCTAAAGCTGACTGGGATTCCTTTCGTGATTTTCTTCGTGATGGTCCTTGGGCTGATGTTTTTTCTCTCTCAGCTGACAAATGTGCCTCTTACGTAACCTCCTGGATTCAGGCTGGAATGGAAGCTTTTATTCCTTCTCGTCGGTTTCAAGTCAAGCCTCATTCTACTCCATGGTTTTCTCCTTCTTGTGCGGCTGCTATATCCAATCGTAACCATTTTTTTCATATTTTTCAAAAGAACAACTCTCTTGAGAACAAACGGCTGTTTATTATTGCAAGAAATCGATGTAAAAAGGTGCTTTCTGATGCTAAACTCCATTATTCTCAGTTCACTAAATCTCGCATCTTATCGCAGAAGTTAGGCTCTAAAAACTTTTGGAAAATCTTCAACAGCATTGTTAACAAGGGTAGATCTAACATTCCATCTCTCATTTATGGGACTGATCTTGTTACCTCTCCCAGGGATAAGGCAGAACTGTTTGCAAAGAACTTTTCTTCTAATTCCACTCTTGAATCTTATGGACATTCTCTTCCTTCCATTCCAGTCAAACAGGTTGACCCATTGTTAGACATTCAAATCACTCCAGCTTCTGTTGCTAAAGTCATATCTCAATTAAACTCGTCTACAGCTTGTGGTCCAGACAACATTCCTGTCACAGTCTTGCAGAATTGTTCTCCAGAACTTTCTTCAATTCTCTCTAAACTATTTAACAAATGTTTGACTGAGTCTTGTTTTCCTGCTTGTTGGAAAATGGCATCTGTGGTTCCAATATTCAAAAACTCTGGAGAAAATTCTGACCCCTCCAATTATCGTCCGATCAGTCTTCTTTCTGTTATTAGCAAGGTCTTTGAGTCTTTAATCAACAAATTCCTCACATCTCATCTTGAGTCAAATAAACTGCTGTCAGACAATCAATACGGTTTTCAATCCTCTCGCTCTACGGCCGACTTGCTAACTGCTGTAACTGAAAGATTTTATCGTGCATTAGATGGAGGCGGTGAGGCTAGGGCTATTGCTCTCGACATATCTAAAGCTTTCGACAAAGTTTGGCATGCTGGTCTTCTCCATAAGCTTGCTTCATATGGTGTTTCTGGGAAAGTTTTTGAGATAATCAAATCATTTCTTTCTAACCGGTTTATTAAAGTCATCCTTGAAGGCCAACACTCTTCTTTATTTCCAGTAACTTCTGGGGTTCCCCAAGGTTCCATCCTGGGCCCTGTTTTGTTTCTTATCTACATAAACGATCTTCCTGACAACCTTTCATCTAGTAGTATCTAAGTAGCTCTTTTTGCTGATGACTCAACTTTATACTCCTGTCTTGACAAAAAGTCTTCTCTTTTCGATCGCCTAGAACAAGCAGCTGATCTTGAATCTGATCTCACTTCAGTAATAGATTGGGGTTCACAGTGGCTTGTGAATTTCAACTCTAAAAAAACCCAATTGCTTACTGCAAACAACTACCGTAATATGGTCAACATTCCTATATTAATGAATGG